AACAATCTTAAATTCATATCTAGTCCTTTTACTGATATTAGTCATTCATCTGCATCAAAGTGTACCTGTTTTTAGAAAATGTGTGTGGACAAGAAAGAATGAAAAATTAGGATAAGAGGTAGAATATCATTTTACCGAATGTTAATTAACATTGTGAGAGGTTTCAAAGTATCATGAAGTACTTTTATCTGATCTGGTGACCTTGATCTCCCTCACCCCCAGCACATCCTGCCCCCAGCACACCCTACCCCCAGCTTGACTTCTCTTCCCATCTTGTTCCTTGTGTTTGTGTCTTGGTCAAGCTTGTGGATTAGGGAAGTCAGAACGGTCAGGTTGTGATAGCGATGAAATAGAAGTTACATGAATTTGTTCAAATGTATCATCTGTCCACTCTTAATCTTTTCATTGAACTGAAATAAACATAGGATGAGGGGGGCTGGAGAGATGGCTCAGAGGTTAAGAGCACCGACTATTCTTCCAGAGGTCCTGAGTTCAATTCCCAGCAACCACATGGTGGCTCACAACCATCTGTAATGAGATCTGGCACCCTCTTCTGTATACATAATAAATAAATAAATCAAAAACAACAAGAACAACAAAAAAGCTACATGAAGAAAACCTGTCTTGAAAAATAAAATAAAATAAAAAAACAAAACATAAACATAGGATGAGGACATTTGCTGATGTCTTCCAAAAATAATGCACCCAAACTGAACAGATCAAGACAACTGTACCTTGGAAACCATTTGACCTTACGACTATCTGGCCATTGTTTTCTACTTGCCCCTAGAACACTGACCTCACTGAAAATTAGCAATATAGAATAGTGTTGTCTATTTGCTGACCTTACGACCTTGTCTCCCAATATATCTTCTTTTGTTATGCCTGGCTTTTTGCTGTCAATACTGCACTATAAAATTTAACCACATTTTATATTGGACTGTATCTCGCTCATTTCAAGTGTTTAAATAGATAAGGTTTGTTTTTCTAGTCTATTGATGGGCGTTTGGGTGGTTTACAGGCAGGACTCACAAATGTCATTGCCATAGACATGAGGGCATGGCTGTAGTATCCACACTCCTGCCAGAACAGGCTTGTGGAGGTGTACAGGAAAAGAAGAAGGTGCTCATGGAACTTCTGGAAAGGTGCTGTTCCTGCTCATAGGAGGCAATTTCACTGCACCTGTACAAGAGGCCAAACCTTGCTCTCTTCTCCAGACCTGGCTGCATATCTGAGCAGCCTTGGTTCTCACCATTCCAGAGGAAGATTTGCAAGACCAGGGAGAATGTTCTGAGTCATTCACAAGAGTGTTGCCATTGCTCTTTGTAGTTTTGTAGCTCAATGACCAATTCCTGTTGAGCTTTAATTTATTTCCAACCATATTCTATTTCCCCTCTCTAGGTGGGTGCTATGAAAAGGAAATTTAAAAGTGGAATCTAGCCCCTAAGGAGCTTAAATGCTCTTGGGAATAGTAATATCCCTAATGCAAATTAGAATTCCATAAGATTCATCTTTAAAACATGGAAGCAAGATTTTTAAAAATATTATTAGCCTACTGTACTGATCACTGTGTCCTAGAGAATGATTAGTTGTAATTTGACATATCCCCATCATGCCGCTGACAAAAATGTGACAATCTAAACATGATCCAGAGCCGGGCAGTGGTGGCACACGCCTTTAATCCCAGCACTCGGGAGGCAGAGCCAGGCGGATCTCTGTGAGTTTGAGGCCAGCCTGGTCTACCAAGCAAGTTCCAGGAAAGGCGCAAAGCTACACAGAGAAACCCTGTCTCGAAAAACCAAAAAAAAAAAAAAAAAAAAAACTAAATTAAAAAAAATAAAAATAAACATGGTCCCAACATTTATCAGCTTGTCAGTTACAAACATCATGACCAGTTAAATGCCACAAGAGTCTAACTTTACTCAATTCTGCAAACGGAAAGTTCCTACACGCTACACCAGAAAAGTTACGCTGCACAATTAACAAATAGAAACCATCTACATCTCTGCCTGCCCTACCAGGCTTTCTTTTTCTTCTACATTGTCTGTGAGAGTTTCTCTCTGTCACCCACTTAGTGCCATTTATTCAGTGGCTGTTTCCTTAGCTGACTTCATATTAACCACTATGCCAGGACCCAGGTAGGGTGAGTGTGAGAAAAGAAATGCTACCAGCTTCCCAGCCCTCCGGGCCTCGTTCTTTTGGAAAAAGAGCTTTGCCAGGCTTATGTGAGACAAAACTATTTGAAATGATGGTATGTATGATGAGTTTAAGTATCTCCCAAAACTGAGCTTCAAAATGAGACTTTACTTGGAAATTGGGCCTTTGCAGAAGAAAACAGTTAATCATTCTGGATGACAGTGATTCCTGAATCTGATGTCTGTTTTCCTTATTGGAGAAACAGGAGGGAGGTTCAGGGACAGGCACTGGGAAGAAAACATATGGCACTGGAAACAGAGGTGGAGGAATGAGCCACAAGCTTGCAGAGAATTGTAGGAAGTTAGGAAATAGTGAAGGTGAGCTTTCCCTGGAGCCTTCAAAGGAAGCAGGGCTCAGGGGAAGCCTTGATAGGGAAATTAATTCATTGATACTGGAAGAGTTGGTAGCTTCTGATTCATGGAGTTACAAGTCTTTTGATAACTGCTACAGCAGCCTAGAAAGCTGCTAAAAATGTGTGTTAGAATGAACCTGAAGAAACTGAAGATTTCTCTATGTTTTGACACACGTGAACAGCATCATTCTGTGGCCCAACCCTACATGCTATGATCTCCTAAGGGGCAGAATGTGGTGGTCAGAGAAAGAGTCTCTGAAGAACTACATGAGGAACTAAAATCCTGAAATCAAGTAGAAGTTCGTGAAGTTCAAGAAAGAAAGAGGGGGAGGGGACCAGCAGAAGGCCTCGAAGGAATGAAGGGTGGTAATTTCATGGGGTCTAAAAGAGGGTACAACGAGAACATCCAGTAAACTAAAACTACAGAGGTAGACAGGAGGGAAATAAGACTCTGAGTACAAATGGAAGGCTATGATCATTTTTGCTTTAAAAGTATAAGAGTAACAACAGAAAGGTTTTAAGGCAAAAATTGAGATTTCTGTAACCATGGAATGGAGAAATGGGTGACCAGGGGCTGACTTGGGAGTAAAAGCCCAGTCAGGGAGGTTCTGGTGAGGACGGAAGGAGCTGGCAGACGAAGAGGGTTTTAGGGAAGGTCTTAGAATTTTCATTTTGGTGAGATGTTCTGACCAACGTAACCTTTGCCTTGGTGTCTCTTACTAGCATAATAGACAATTCAGACCCTCCTTGGCAGCCAACTTAGTCACCCACAGTCAGTCTGCTGCCTAAAATGACTATCAGAGTTGGGGAAATAATACCTTGACTTTTTTGATTATTTCTGTCTTCACTCTTGCCTTGTGTTCCCAAGCACTCTGGTCTTTTCTCTTCCAGGCTAACCATTATCTTTTAGGGATAACTGTTTATTTAGCTATTTGGGTTATGGGTTATGATGCGGGCTGGGTGAGGGAAAACGCAGACACCCTTTTATTTGCATAGCCCCAGTGTTTTTCATAGAATCTGGCTCATGGGATTGGTTGTACAAGTGACAGCACAAGAATCTAAACAAATGAGTCAGCAAACGCAACTGAGAAGCACCTCTCAGAGCCATCCATCTTGCCAGGTGCTGCCGTGCTGTCATTGGCTGCCCTGCTGTCTGGTCTGCCTTAATAAGTCAGCAGCTTTTTCTTTCTCTGTGGACCCAACTTACCCTGGCAAATTTTTCACCATTTCTATATCAGTAACCAGTTAGAAATCAGTTACTTTTTCATAAGCCTTCATTTTTCTTATTACTCTCATGACATGGAAATACCTGTGCTTTTTATTTTGTGGCCCTGGGTACTATGGCTTTACCATCTTCAACATTATCAAAAAACCATCATATTATATACATGTCTTCTGCATACATCGCCATACTGAAGGACAGCAAACAGCAGTAGCCCTCTCCCTAAATAAGATTTCCACCTCAGATCAAAAGCTATTCACAAAAATCTAATAGATGTCTGCATAGTTAAGGTAATACATATTTTATAAAATTAAAATGAAATAATCATATACAGCAAAAGATGAGAAAACTAGAAATGAGGACCCACAACCTTGCCATTCACTCCAGATCAGATGGAAGCTGAGCCATCTATTATTGGAATTGAAGTCTAGTGTCCAAATGCAGCATTTCTGTTCCTTCTGACCAGTTTACATCTCTGTAAGAGGTGCCCTGCCCATCCTTTCTGTTTATCAAAGCTCTCTTGACTTCTACTGCTAATTTCCACAATCCTGATCAAAACTTTGTCATTTTAAAGTAAAAGGACATTTCACAAGGGGGCCATAAGCAAATAGCTTTGATGCCCTCTTATCTCATCTGTGAATTAGTAGGACCAATCTTACAGTTTGGAGAGGGACAGAAACCAGAGAAGATATTGAGAGATCATTGAGAGATTAACTGCAATTCAGAGTGGTCTTCTTTAGAAGCCAAGAGAAGTGAGGAGAATTCACAAGAAAAACTAGCATTGGAAAGAGCGGGGGAAGGATAAGAAAGCATGGATTGAATTCTAGCCAAAAATTTGTTTGTAGTTCTGTACTGGCTCCACATAAACTTTAGCTTACTTGCAAGTCCATGCTACTTCTACCATGTCTGTGTATAAAATAAATTGAATGTTTAATCACAAGTAAAAAGGAAAAGATAATGTATAGTATGGGATAAAAGGAGATTTATCTTTGGGAGCACAATCACAAAGCCTTCTCCTGGTTTGTTGTTGTTGTTGTTTTTAAACTGGTTTAGTTTGGTGTTAATTGTCATTTCCCTGATGCAGAGAACAATCCGAGGAACTATTGTGTGATGTGTTGGTGGGACTTTGCTGCCATCTACCGGTTGTATATGTAATTACATGTTATTCTCTCAAGTCTGAACTGTTCATTTCAATGGAATTCTCTTTTCTCTCCCTCCCACACCCTTTAGTTAAAGCAAAGCGAAGCAAATGCGGACACCAAAGAAAAACTTCCTTTGCGCTTGAGAATCTTTGAAAAATTCCCAAACAGACCACAAATGGTGAAAATCTCAAAACTTCCTTCAGATTTTACAGTTCCTAAGATCAGGTATTGAATTGTTTCTTTGATTACCTATTTCGACCACATGGCTTACCTTCAGAAGCCTACCTCGGTCCTTCTTTCAGACTGGCATGTGGGTGGGTTTGGGGTTGTGTTTGAATTTGTTGTCCCCTGCTCTCCTCCCTGCCTTTGTCACAGGAAGACTGAGTCTTGTGTGCAGTCTCTTAAGAGGAGAGGCAGGTGAGGTACAAGCTTCTGTCCCTGCCTCCCTCTAGGTACTCCTCAGTGATTACAGGTATAGACAGGATGAACGTGTTCAGAGTGTGTAAGAGGATGGACTGGGGTCCAAGCACTTTGCCTTCATCCGGCACTCAACGCTGCCGAGAGGTGTCTGTGTGACACCAGCCTTTGTGGGGATGGCAGTCTGGTCACAGTGTAATCTGCCTCCTACTGGTTAAAAGAAGCATAGCATTTATACCCAACTGATTCAGTCTGTACTAGCTTCGCCTTCCTACTAAAAACAAATGCATACAGAAGGTGCTTTGAAGAGCCTGCTTTTAATAATTAAATGCTAGTCTTCCGATGGATAGCTCCAAAACAATCAGAATCATATAAAATTTTCTATTTATTTATCTTTAAATGTCTTGGTAAGAGATTATGGAAGTATAAAATTATGCCAAACACTTTAAATGCAAATTAAAAAAAGACCATCCGGTCACTTAATGACTGACATATGTTCTGAGCAATGACTCTTTAGACGTTGTCACCATTCTGTCAACATCAAAAGATATATTGATGCAAATTATGGTGGTTATTACACCATTGGGTGGTACAATGCAATCTTATGGGACTACCATTTGCATCCAGCCTATTGGTGACCAAGTGTCTCTATGTAGTATGCGACGTATTTGTGTTTCTAATCTTTTTTAAAGTTAATTGACTTTGCTTACTTGCATTGATGTTGTTTAATTTTTTTCACCAAGTTTTGGAGATCAGATGAAGTCTTTTTCCTTTTGAGTCTTTAAATGTAAAATTATCTCTCAAGGACTTTATAATGAATAGAAGTTTGGAAAGATGAATTAATTCTTTCAAGTCTTAGGAGAAAGATAAAGTATCTCATTACCATAGTAGGATTCAAATCACACCATCAATTATTGGATACCCTTGCTTTTAAGCTATTTCAGGGACATTATGCTTTTAAGCAGGAGTTTTCAAGGATTCAGGAAGCTTTTTCTAAGTTAAATATTTTGATAATTAAATCTAACCACCTCCCTTGGTATGACACATCTTGTTTTTTGTGATCTTCTGCACTGCTTCATGGTCTCTGTGAAATGCCATTTCCGGCTCCATTTCCTGCGTAACACCTGATGTGTGTACTTCATTTACAAAGGGAAAGCTTCATGAAGCAGTTCATTGACCGCCAGCAACAGGACACCTGCTGTCTCTTCAGAATCCTCCCTTCTACCTCTTCCTCATCATCTGATAATCCCAAGCGGCCCACAGCTGAAGACAACAAATACATTGATCAAAAAGTAAGAATTGCTGTCTCTGTTACCAAACTTCTGTAAAACATGCATTAGAGAAAAACATGGGACAAATATTTAGGGTGCTGGATTCCTAGGTTTCAAGAAAAGAAAGAAGAAAACAGTTTTTTTTGCAAATAATATAAAGATATTTGAGTATATGTGTATATACATATATATTATTTGTGATGCAATATGTACTTCTATTATATTTTTTAAATGGAATGCCAGCTTTCTCTAGTGCTCAGGCTCTCCTGTTCATCCTCACAGAGCTGAATGTATTGTGTCTCTTGCTTAGACATCTTGCCCTAGCCTAGGTTATGATAGTGACTATTGCCTTTACAGGGCATCTCTTCTTTTTAAAGAATTTTCACTCATTTATTTTCTTTTCATCATCTGCAGATCTCATTCCTCATTCTTATAGAACCCAGGATTGTAGAGAACACTCTGATGCCAATATCTTCTTTTTCATTTATTTTTGTCAGAAAATAATTAGGTTTATGTCAGGCTGGTTGAATTTCATTATCTCTGGAGAAGCCTTGAGATATTATCTATATTCTTGGCATTCAGAAACTTTACCAGTATGTACCTTCTCTGTCTTTTCTCACCAGAATTGCCCAAACTGGGGAGGGGGCTATTTGCAGAACAAGACTCTTGCACAGGGATATGTCAACCTGTGACTTGCTCAAGGAAGACATATCCATTTTAGGACTGCCTTCTTGCCTCTCAATTATTGTCTCTACTTTTGTCCTATGTAGTAATGTTTTCCTCCCCCAACCCAATTTGATCTTCCTGGTCATAAATTTGACTTCAGATGATACCATTCGTGGCTTTCATTTATGTAGTGAAAATCATGCCATGTGTATGGTACTTTAAACTTTTAGTTTGGTCATGATTTTGTTCGTTTGAACTGAGAGCTTGTGGTATCTATACTTCCAAGTCACTACCATAAACAGGTTAAGAGCAAAGTGGGCAAAGACCTGTGGAGAGAGGGCAACATGGCCCAGGCCAGTCTGAAGTCTCATTTTGCATACTAGAAAGCAGATTGGCATTGTCTTTGTGCATTAGATTTGTCTCATTATATTTTCAAACTCTGCTATAAACCAGAGGTGAAGTGGCCTTCTGTACACCCTGACTGCTGTGGTTGTGACCACCTGCTGCCAGGAGAAAGACCAAAAAAGATGATGTCCCCAAAGTGCTCAGTATGGTAAAACCAGGACACATTTTCTAATCATTAGGAACAATGTCCCACAGAAAACTGCAAATCAACAACTTCCTTAAAAGAGAACATGAATTTCTCACAATTCCTGGATAGACTATTCATCACTTTATGAGGAAAGAAGTAATAAAATGCTTGGTAGGTGTAGACTGGGTGGGAGAGAAGTTGGCAGAGGTGAACCTCGGTGCACCCAAGCCCCTCTACCATCTATTACTTTAGATTAATGGGTGGCGCCCAACGTGGGGCAAGAGTTTCCACCTAAAACCTGAGTAAAAAGATTGTAAAACGGAGCTAAAAACAGCTCCTAGTTGTCTCTTTTAAGCTAGCAGCAGCCTGCTGGTTTGAGCTACTGGCGGGTTCCTAGCATGCGTGCATGCTCGACCTGCAGTATGGCGGGAATGAGGCCTCTGCAAGTGGCACATTAAGCTGTGTGGTGGGTTTAGCCTTTGCTAGTACAAAACAAAACAAAAAGAGGTTTCTGGGCTACACGCTGCTTTGATAGAAGCATAGACCCACTATTTCTGAGAGTTGATGGCTCCCAGAGCTGGCAGAAAACGTATCACCGCCATGTTGGGAAGCTGAAGTGGGCGGAGCCAGCAGCGCCAGCACCATTTCAGGCTTAGAAGGCTGCAGTTCAAAACAATAGGCTCAAGCTAATATTAAAAAAAAGCCACGTAAAGATGGCTACCACACAAAGAATCTGGATTATGTTCTCTTTGATATTCGTAACTAAAGAAAAACATTTGATTACAAAAGCTGTTGAGTTATGCCAAAATGTATATTTTAAAGGTACCTTGACTTCAAAATTTGGATGTAAGGATATGTTGCTTTGGAAAGGAGGCTCTGCTTTTGTTCCCACAGAAAGCCAGAGGCTATGGATTTGTTCCAGATTAAGATACATCAGGTTTGACCAGCCAAGACCCCCTGAAAGGTAACACCAAGGCCCAGATGATCCAACATCCAGAATGGTTTCAAGGCAACTGGCTCAGATGATACAGCCTCATGGACTACTCCATGATCTTAAAATTTTCTTTGTTTCCCCAGAAGACACAGTGCCCCCCTCCAGCAGGAAGTAGTAAGAGAAGCTACGCCCAAATTCCCAAATATACCAAACTGACTTTGGAGATGTGTAAAGGTTAAAACCTTCCTTTTTAAGAAAAGAAAAGGGGAAGTGCTGTGGGAAGGTCTGTATGTCAAATGTGTTGCTGATTGGTCAATGAATAAATCACTGATGGGTCAGTGGCCAGGCAGGAAGTATAGGCGGGACAAGGAGGAAAAAAAACTCAGGGCATTATTCTTAGTGACTGTGGGACTGGCAGGTGAGAGAGATTTGTCCTGACTGTGGGCCAGGCAGGAAAACTCAAGCTACAAATGGGGCTGAAAATGACACTTCTCATTTTCTTCATAGCCTTTTTTTGAGTGTGACTTCTTTCTAGCTTAGCAGAAAGACGTTGCACCCCAGGTACCATCCATGTTGTTTAGTTTGGAGAAGCTGCAAGACTTTGAAGGTGATAGCTAGTCCCCAGCCTATGGAGCTGATTGAAATACATCCTGTCTGTTAAACAAAGACCATCATAGATGACAGTGTGTTTCTCTTCATCTCGTATCTGCCTGGTGGACCGTATGCCACTGAACTGTAGTTGGAAAGGTGTTATTCTTCTCTCATGGCATTTATTCTCAGATTGGGAAGTGGAATGCACATCTGCCTCCAGGTCTCATCTGCTGATCCTAGGAGAGAGAGCTACCTATATTGCCATGTGTTCTAGTTTGCTTTCTGTTTCTGTGGTAAACACCATTACCAAAAACAATATGGGGAGTAAGGGACTTATTTCATCTTATAGGCTATAATCCACTATAGAGAGAAGTCAGGCAGGAACTTGAGGCAGGAGCTTGAAGCAGAAACCAGGGAAGAGCACTGCTTACTGGCTTGCTCCCTCTGGGTAGCTTTCTTATACTGTCCAGGCCCACCTGCCCAAGGGTGGCACTGTCCATGGTGGGCTGGACACTTCTACATCAATTAGTAATCAATAAAATAACTCACAGACATGCTCACAGGCCAATTTGATGGGAGCAACTCCTCAGCTAAAGTTCCTTCTTCCCAGGTGTGTCTAGGTTTGTGTCAAGTTGACAAAACATATCCGGATACCATGCAACCAGCATTCAGCCTTTAGCTCTATTTCAATGATAGAAAGTTAGACTTCTTCCTTTCTAAATCCGTTGTTTACAGCATCAGCTTCCACCTTTTTCTGGAGCTGTTTGCAAACACTTAGAATTTCTCATCTCTGTTTGAGAGTCTTTGGCAAGGGCAATATAAGACATAGAAATTCCCATGTGAGTGAGTTTCCATGGTGAGGACTTCCAGGAAACAGCAAGGGAAGGAAAGGCAGTTTAGTGTTGATATTTTAATCATGCAAGTGTCTACTCATATGTTTCTCCACACTATTGAGATGAAAGTCTAGGGCTTATTAGGCAGAGTGCTTCCTAATAACACAAGATGGGAACTTGACTTCCTAGCAACCCAGTGATAGAACTGGTTCACTCAGACTGCAACAATGAACCCCTCAATCCAAATCCTTGATCACTACTCAGCAATCTGTGTCACCGTGATGTGTCTGCCATACTCTTAGGTAATATGCTACTTCCTGGGTCAGAATCTGCCCATGATCTAGAAACATAAGTGAGCCTGGCAGAGCCCCAAAAGCTATAACTCAAGTACAAAATGAGAGTAAAAATGATAAACATTAATTTTTATGTATTGTTTATCCTTTCCATTTCAATAAGTCTTCAGCATTCGTTCAATAATTCTACAAAAATGTGTGGACCACCTGCTATTTGCTTATGTGCCATTCCTCTAGATGTGGGAATTCAAAAGAAAGCAAGATGTGAACTTTAGAAGCTGACAACACTATGAAGAAACACAAACAAAGAGGTTAAAGTAAAAGCTACTGTGGGAACTAGAGAGACGGCTCAGTTATTTAGAGCACTTGTTTCTCTTTCAGAGGACTCCAATTCAGTTCCCAGTACCTACACAGTGGCTCAAACTATCTGAATTCCAGATCCAATGCCTTCTTTTGACCGTTGTGGACACTAGCCATGCACTAGATGGAATCTCCAGAGTCCTCCTTCCAGCACAGTTGACAAGCATAGAATGGGGCCTCTGGCAAATAGGGCCCTACAGAAAGCTACCCCCATTGTCTACCCTGTATCTTACATTCTCATGGAATGAATTAAAGTCTTCTTGAAAATTTCCTCTTCATAAAACCTTGCTGATTGCTGTGCAGCATTTCGGCAATTTTCTGTATGATTATAGACTGTCATATGATTTATTCTAGCAACTCTGTATGTAGCAAGTTACTCAACCTGATCTATAATTTTCAGAGTGAGCATTTATGCACTCAAAAACTAAATAAATAAAGGCAGAGGATGTGGGGAACAAGCTGCTTTGGTCTTTCAGGATGGTGATCTTTTGAAATAATTCTTCCAAATAATAGCTTGGCAGCTCTAAAAATAAAACTATTTACAGATGTATCTCCAGAAGGTGGGCAGGAGAGAGATAACAGGATGCTAAACCATAACCATGTACTGTATCTCAAAGACACCAGACAGAGTGGTCAAGGAGGGACTGCAGGACTGGTATTCACAACACCAAATATAAAAATCACATGCAGGTGTCTGATAGCTTAAAACTGCCTCTATAGGTAACTAACTGACTGCTTAGTCATAATAATGAAAAGGAAACAAAAAGATGCACAATATAAAAAGCAAAACATTGTTTCTCATTTTTATTCAT